TGTAAAATAGTCCCTAACTTCAAAGCTGGAACAATGACAACAGAAAATTATACCGTCTTGAAGCTGTACTTGTCAGTGTTAAATGACGTGCTCTTCAGTTACAGGGCAAACACATGCCTAGGTGGAATCCAGAAATAAGGCAAAGTTTTTCAGTTTGGCCTAACAGGTGGTGATTATCTGTGGGTTTAAATAGCACATGCTATGGGATAATTTTTGTATTGGTTAAGGACTGTTTGTTCAGTGATCAGCACTGAAATCTGGAAGACTAACAACTGCCTTTGCTTAATTTAGTACTTTTTTCCTGTAATGCTAACTTATGTTACAAGATAATTAAGTTTTTTCTAGGGGGTGCATATTATGCTGCATTTTGTAGCTTTTGATATGCGTACTGTTGTTTTGGGTTTTTTGGGCTTTTAGTTTAGGATACTTCCTCTCAAACCAGCATCTCTTCAGGCTTAAATTAATTTTGATGGAAGAGAAATGATGACATAGTCTTTCTCCACCTTCGTCTCGGAGGGTTGGATGTTTGTTTTCATTTTGGTATTAAGTAGGAGTCACTGGTGGATTAACTATCTAGGACGCTCTTTTGAGAAAGAGGCTTCTAGACTGGTAATGCCAGAAAATGCTTATTAAAGAAAATGAGAAACTGGAGGAGCGAATATCCTGAAACTGCTAATTGCTTCTGCGGCTTTTTCACGGACCAGCCTCATGCATTTCCTGTGTATAGTTGCAGTCTTTGCTGCAGCTCCCTTGCAGAGAGGCTCCAAGTCCTGATAAACGTGGGTCTGTCCTGAAAACAGAGTGAAAAGACTGCATGCTTTGTCAGACAAGACAGTTGTTATTTCATTTAAGGACAGCAGTTGCCTTACCTGTTTCACTTTGGTATAATAAACTGGGTTGCCTGTAGTATACCAGATGCAGAGCTGGCCAATATAGGCTGGCATTAAACTGAATCATAGGATCATAGACTGGTTTGGGTTGGAAGGGACTTTAAAGCTCATCCACTTCCCCCCCTCCTGCCCTGGGCAGGGACACCTCCCCCCAGCCCAGGTGGCTCCAAGCCCCGTCCAACCTGGCCTTGAACACCTCCAGGGATGGGGCAGCCACAGCTTCTCGGGGCAACCTGCCCCAGGGGATCACCACCCGCACAGTAAGAATTTCTTCCTAAGATCCCGTGTAAATCTCCCCTCTTCCAGTCTAAAACTGTTCCCCCTCGTCCTGTCACTACACGCCCTTGTAAACAGTCCCTCTCCTGCTTTCTTGTAGGTCCCCTTCAGATACTGGAATGGGCTCGAAGGTCTCCCCTTTTTCGCCTTCTCTTCTCCAGGCTGAACCCCCCCAACTCTCCCAGCCTCTCCTCCCAGCAGAGGGGCTCCAGCCCTCCCAGCATCTCTGGGGCCTCCTCTGGCCCCGCTCCAACAGCTCCATGTCCTTCTGCTGTTGGAGGCTCCGAGCTGGACGCAGTACTCCAGGTGGGGTCCCCCCAGGGCTGGCCACGCTGCTGGGGATGCAGCCCAGGGTGCGGAGGACTTTCTGGGCTGCCAGCGCACAGTGCCGGCTCCTGGGGAGCTTCTCACCCACCGACACCCCCAGGTCCTTCTCCTCAGGGCTGCTCTCCAGCCATTCCCCGCCCAGCCTGGATTTGTGCTTGGCATTGCCCCGACCCACATGCAGGACCCTGCACTTGGCCTTGTTGAACTGCATGAGGTTTGCGTTGGCTCACCTCTCCAGCCTGGACAGGTCCCCCTGGATGGCAAATTGAAGACCCTCTCACAATGAAATGCTGGTAGTGGACTGCTTGTCAGGACTCCATTGACTGCAAAGAATGCAGTAATTTGGGAGGAACTTCATTTAATACACATTAGTTCTGGTTTTGTGTTGGTGGGATGGCAATGCAGGAGCTTCCATGAGGTATTGAGATTTAAGGTTTATAACCGATTTCGGAGAGATGCTATGGATTCCCCACTCCCAGGTTTTAAAACAGGTTAGTTTTTTTTTTTTTTAAAGGTTAGGTTTATTTTTAATCTTTTTTTCTGAACTGAAAACTAGGAGTGCAAGAAGGCTGGAAGTGACCAGTGTGAATAGTAAACTGTAACTTAGAGGAAGGAGGTGGGTTTTTACGGTATCTGAAGAAATTAAATTTAAATGCAAGTTTTCCTGTGAGGTGGGGTGAAAAATAACTTAATCTGTAAGGGTGAGGTGGGGTGAAAAATTAGTTAATCCAAGGTCTGCGGGAGGGAGGGATAAGATATGCCTCAACAGCAGCTGCTCATCTAAAGGAAAATGGAATATGTTGCAGGCAGAAGTGGCAAGTGCTGCCTGTGACTTAATGTTTTCTACGAGAGCTCCTGCTTTTGGTTGCTTTCACTTGCCAAAATAATGGTCTCCAAACGTCCTTTGCCTTATGGCTGGCCTTTAAGTTCAGGCAGAACCAATGCACCCATTTTGTTGAAGAGGAAGCCAAGAAGTATTGCCCCATCTGAAACGTCAGAGCTTGGTTAGGTCTATCCTTAAATGGCGTTGCAGTGTCTCCGGGATGTGTTAGCTTCATCAGACCTGCCTTTTTGTCCTCCCGTAGAAAACCATCAGCACTAAGACTGCTATGAGCCTTCTAACTTCCATTTTGCTGTGCTTTGTAAAAAATAACTTGCCAGTTAAAATCTCCCTGGCCTCACCAGTGAGGCCAGAGGATCCCCGCTGCTTGGTGGGTACAGATCAATAGGCTTGAGCCATCTGGCCTGGAAGAAGATTACTGGGTTGGGAGCCAGGAGATGTAGAGTTTAAGCCATGGGACTTCCCATGTCGGCCCTGTGTATTTTATATTCCCCATTGAGAGCTATTACGTAGCTGTTGGGCGGCGTTACTGCACACTTCTGTCTCTTCCTCCCACCCCACGACGCACACCACCATCATAAAATGGAGAGCCAGCAGCTACCAGCTGAGCTGGGAGAGGAAACCTGAGCAAGAGGCTGGGTTGTCCTCCTGGAGATGCTTTTCAGAGGGAACGTATGATGTTTGCGTGCCTGGCTGTGGTTTCAGTTTCTCCCCAAACACAGGAGCTGCTTATGCTGTCCCCCACTCCTTCAGAAGTCAGCGGCCGTGTGTGTTTGGCTGATCCGGTCTTGTAGTGTTATGGTTCAGGGGAACGACTTAATTTCTGGTTTTATTAAAGTCTTAGCGAACAGTATTAAAAATCCTGTGAGGTTCTTCTGTGCAGTTCAGAAATGTTTGACTGAAATTCACTCAATGCTGCTGTCTTAAATTACTTTATTCTATACCTGTTCTTCATAGGGCATGCCCAGTTTTTCCTTGTTGATGTTGAACAAAGCCCTGAGAAAGGCTCAGGAGTTGAGTTGTTCATGGTTCAGGACTCTGTTTTAGGACCTGCGAGACCAGAAGTTGTTCCCAGTTGCATGTAAGTGCATCTGAGCCACGTGGCCGGTCGGACCAGGCTCTTCCTGAGACGGTCACTTGCCTTTGCAACCCAACGTTCTTCAGTTGCAGGTTTCTGTGTTTAATGAATGCCTTTCGTTAAAGCAGGGCTTCTCTGAAACCCACAGCCTAGGAGCTGGGGGCTCTGGAAAGCTGGGGAAAGCCCAGCCAGCTCTGATTCAGCTCCACAGTAACTTGTTACCTTTCACCTAACCACAGTCTGCTGTCAAATGCATCCTAGAGACCAAATCTTCAGAAAGATCTTGACCACTCCTGTATCTCCTGCAAGTGCAGGATGTGAAGGGTAAGCGTACCCCTTGCCCGGTGCACAACTCGCCGATGACCATGGTCTCCGTTCTTCTGAATCCCAAACAGTGCTGCTGCTTGCAGAGAGGGTCGTGGCTGAAGCAGGTATGAACGTGTGCAGCAGCCTCTGGGAAAGCAGTGCCAGAAATCTGAAGTGTCCTCAGCACCCAGAGTGCCTTTGGGACTTTGGGGATGACCAGTGCCTCAGTTCTGCCTGCACAGCACTTTGGGAGCCCAAGTGCTCTTTTGGATTTTGCTCTTTGTTCTTTTGCATCTTTAGTTTGGACACGTACCTGCACAGTCTGGAGCAGAGCTTGTTCCCAAGTGAGTAAATAAATGCACATAGCTGCACTTGATTAAATAGACGTAATAAATGCCTGGCTCGGCCTCCAGGTGAAAATCCTCCAGGCTGGGCTGGAGAAGCTGCTTTACTGACCTAGCTTTTGAATGAGCTGCAGATCAGTGCCAGAAAGAGCCTGTCCTTCAGCTTGTGGTTACCTGTATTGGAGGAGGCTGTCCGTCATCATGGCTGTAATGCAACTGAAACACCTTTGTAGCCCAGCGTAGGCACCAGGCTATCTCTTCCTGCCATCTCTGCATTTCTCACCTGTTTGTATTTCCTACTAAGGGTTCTAGAAGTGGGTTTTTTTTTTAAATTCATTATTTTTTTAGGTAACTTATTTTCAGCTGATAGCTGAGTCACTAGCTGCTACGCTACAGCCAGGATCCCAGGGAGAAAAGAGACTACTTGCTGAAACTTTGAGTTACGATTTTTGGCAGCACACTTCATCGTTTGAACTTGTTCTACTGTGGCTTGTTTTGTTCCATCTGTTCAGGTGCCTTTGTTAGAGCAGAGCAGGAGCACCCGACCAAAACATTCTAGTCACAGGGAGCAGAAGTGGCCTTAACAAGGCTGGTGGGAAAAGAACGTGGTGGTGAGCAATAATTTAAATTTATTTTTAACCTACAGCCCCCCACGCCTTGCAGCAGTAGCTTGTGCCCTAGAGGTCCTTCCTCAGTCTCACAGCACGGGTACATGGTCTATCTAGAGCTGCTGCTGCAGGGAACGTTTGCTCTCAGAGCCCTGATGGAGGAGAGAAGGACTGGAGGTTTGGAACCCCTCCTGGATACCAGCCCCCTCAATCTGGGGGAGAGGGGAGCTGTTGGCATGCCCAGGGAGGGATAGGATCCATCTGGAGGAAAGGATTTGCATTAGCTGGGATAGATTGGGGCTGGTGCTGTTTGACATCTTTGTCGGCAACATGGGCAGTGGGATTGAGCTCACCCTCGGCAAGTTTGCCGACGACACCAAGATGTGTGGTGTGGTTGACACACTGGAGGACAGGGATGCCATCCAGAGAGACATGGGCAAGTTTGAGAGGTGGGCCTGTGCCAACCTCATGAAGTTCAACAAGGCCAAGTGCAGGGTCCTGCATGTGGGTCGGGGCAATGCTGAGCACAAATCCAGGCTGGGCAGAGAATGGGGTGAGAGCAGCCCTGAGGAGAAGGGCTTGGGGGTGTCGGTGGGTGAGAAGCTCCCCAGGAGCCGGCACTGTGCGCTGGCAGCCCAGAAAGCCCCCGGCACCCCGGGCTGCATCCCCAGCAGCGTGGCCAGCAGGGCGAGGGGGGACTGTGCCCCTCTGCTGCGCTCTGCTCTGGGGAGACACCCCTGCAGTGCTGCCTCCAGCTCGGGGGGTCCCAACAGCAGAAGGACACGGAGCTGTTGGAGCGGGGCCAGAGGAGGCCCCGGAGATGCTGGGAGGGCTGGAGCCCCTCTGCTGGGAGGACAGGCTGGGAGAGTTGGGGGGGTTCAGCCTGGAGAAGAGGAGGCGAAAAAGGGGAGACCTCAGAGCCCCTTCCAGTGCCTAAAGGGGCTCCAGGAGAGCTGGGGAGGGACTCTGGGTCAGGGAGGGGAGCGATGGGACGAGGGGAAACAGTTTTGAACTGAAAGAGGGGAGATTCAGATGAGATCTGAGGAAGAACTTCTCTCCTGTGCAGGTGGTGAGCCCCTGGGGCAGGTTGCCCCGAGAAGCTGTGGCTGCCCCATCCCTGGAGGTGTTCAAGGCCAGGTTGGACGGGGCTTGGAGCAACCTGGGCTGGTGGGAGGTGTCCCTGCCCAGAGCGAGGGGGTGGGACAGGATGAGCTTTAAGGCCTCTTCCAACCTAAACCAGTCTATGATTAAGCAGAGTTTGCTCCTAAAGGGCTGAGTAGCCCTCACTGTGGTGTGCTGTAGGGTTTGGGTGGGTTGTGTGAAATCTGTTGCCTGTATAGGAAGAGGGTGCAGGCAGCGGGGGTGGCAGGGAGCTGTGACAAGGGCAGAGGACACACTGATGAGGAGCAGCGAAACGCCGGCCAGACCTGGCCTTCTGCCATGTGTGAGTTGGGGTAGTTAATTTTGAATGAGGCCAAGAAATCTCTGATAGCCTGGTGCCTAACAAGCTCAGGTGAGACACGCGTGCAGCTGGAGAGCTTGAATTTCTGGTTGTTATGGCAGCAAAAGCTTAAGTTTGTTTAGAAGTACAACTTTGTTTAGAAGTACAACTCTCGAACAAAGTTGTATCACTGGTCTGCTTTTCCTATCATGTCTTTTGAACTGTGTGTTTTTGGTAGGACCTGGTCAACTTGAAAACTACATCTGAGTTGCGTAGAGGACATGCTCTTTGAGGGGCTGTAGAACCAATCCATGCTCTAAAAACAGGTCCAGAAACTCAACCTGATGCTCTTGCCTTGATATCTTTTTTTGAAACAGGTAGAAGTTACAGATGTTCCCCACCTCTTCTCCCACACAGACCTTGTCCTCAGCCTTGGGATGCAAGTCTGTGCGTACGTGTGCATATTGCAGTGTTGGCAGCAGCAGCTGCGGCAACCTGGAAGTGTTTTGTGAAGGAGAGTTTACTCAACCTGATGCGAGCAGCCTAGCAAAAGGACTTTATGTCCAGTGACGCATGTTGTACCCGACCCTGTTCTGAAATCCCCCTGCAAGTCTTCAGCGTTTGAGCCCCCCCCAGGAAAATCTCTGCCAAGCAACATTAGCAAGAGCGGAATTAATTCTTAGAGGATTTAGCTGAGCAGCTTTGGCTACGGAGTAAATCAGGAAATACTCCACTCATTAAAAATCCAGGTGCATCTTCAGGATGACTTGTGAAGGGTGGCCTGCAGACAAAACTGCGGTTTTCCATTTGGAGTTTGCTGTTGGTTGGGACACTGAGCTCCCATGGTTTTAAAGCTGTGCTTAACTCTAGTATCCTGGTGTTGTGGTAGGTGGGTATTGTGCAACTTCAGGTAGATTTCTTTACCTGCTATGGTGCTGGTAGCTGGACTTTAACACAACTTTTAGAAGGTCAGAAAATGGAAGATCCGGGGAGGTGGGTATCTATCGTGAGTTGTATTCTTCTATTTTAATGTAATTTAGTCTGAGAATAATTCTTGATGGTGAATGAGCAAGAGGAGTAAGCTCTCTGTCAAGTAACACCTATAGGAAGATACTTTTAAATAGATCAGAGGTGCTGACGTTGTTTAGCTGCAGAACGCTCTGTGAGGAAGGGCTGAGCGCTAACAGAGGGGACATAAATCATCACTGTCTCATACAGCTTACAGTCCACTGCTCTCTGTGTCTGCTGTGCTGCTCCTACAAGCAGCTTGAATGATTTTTTTGGCTTCCCAGTGCTCTCCCAAGACAGGTTGAGATCCTTTGGAGGGGTACCCACAGAAGCAGTACTGTAAAGGGAACCAAGACGATGCTGTGCAGAGACATCCTCCTGCTTTTGGGTTAAAGGGGTTTTGCACTCTCAGGATCAATATCCTGTGCTATTTATCAGTTTAACAAGTTTTGGGATTGGCTACAGTGAAATTACCCTTTTTCCAGTCGCCGATTCCTTGTCCTGTGCCTGGTACCAGCCTTACAGGTATCCTCACAGAGACAGTGAGTTGCAAAGGGAGCTCATGGAGGTCGGATGGTGGAGAAGAACCTCCAGCAGTGCTAATCCCTACCTGACCAGGAGCTGCTGAGGTCTGACATTAAGCCTTGTGCAGCTGAAGCACTGAGCCAGGCCACACTGCAAACCCTGTGTATTTGGGGCAGAATGACTGCTCTGGCTCTAAACCAGTGTGTAACTTCAGTCAGCTCGTACTTCTCCCCCTTTATTAGTGGCACTTGGAGAACAGTGTAATGGAGGATGCAGCTGAGCATCCTTTCCCTGCTCAGAGGTGGGACACCGGGTGAGTTAAAAGTGCTGAATCCCACTTCTAGGCAGGAGCCTGCAGGCAGGGAGGTGGCAATGCTCAGAAGACAAAGGAGGGAAGTGAGTTCTGGACCAAGTCTTCAAAAGCTGTTGTGTGCTTCTCTGACCTGGGCTTGGGAAATGGCTCTCTGGGGCCTTGTGGCAGCTGAAAACTCCATCTGAACACACAAAAAGAGTCCTGAGGGCTGCCTGGGGTCATGCACTACATTCAGGTCCTCGATGTTTTTGCAGCGCGACTAGAAAGGCAAGAGGAGGTTCTCCGTCTTCTCGCTGCTGAACTGCAGCTCTCCCAGCAGCCAGGAGATGCTCCAGTGATCGGTGTCAGTGGGTTGGGACCCTCTAGTAGGTGATGCGAAGCTTGTCCCACCCCTGAGCAACTGCCTGTTGCTTTAGCTCTTCTGGATGACTGTGAGGAACGTGACTTCAAAGTCCTTTGGCCTTTTATGGCCTTGCTTTAAATTGGCGTCATGGTTTTAATGTGGTGCCACTGTGCCTGGGTGTCACCACAGGCGCAGAGCTGGCTCTGTCCTGGAGAGGTTGTGCTTTCTGCTGTTATGTTTGCCGTCTGTAATTAATCCTAATCAAGCTTTGTTGTGAATTGTGGTAGACAGATTTGGACTTGTAGGTTGCAATAAAGACAGAAGCCAGAGGCTAGGAAGAGGCTGGCGTCCCCAGCGCCACCACCGGGGTCCCTGACCTTGGGAGTGTCTCACCTCTCTGTCTCGGGGAGAGCACTTGGCCGCCCGGGACGTGCCGCGGAGCGTGTGTTGTTCCACTCCACAATCCTCCTGTGACCGGTGGCGTGGAAGGGAGCAGGAACACTGTGTTCAGATAAGACTGCACCTTTCCCATCTAGCAGATGTTCGCCTGAACATCCCACTGGATTGCATAATTACAGAGTTGAACGTGGAGCTGAACGGCTGCAGCCTCTTCCGCTACTGGGTGTCAGCTATTGTGTGCTCTCTTGATGAGATCTTTGTTTTGCTTTTTTTGCCGGCTGTGTCACACGGTTCGGTCTAGGCGCTCTGAAATTGTCCTTTTTTTCTTTTTTCTTTTTCTTTTTTCTTTTTTTTTTTCTTCTACACGCAGCTGATCCAAGACAAGAAAACAAATCAGTTCTTTTTAAATTTCATTTCCCTGGTCTTGTCCTGCTCATTCCCCACTGTAATTGGGCTTCCGTGCTGTAAGCGCTTTTCTGGTGAGTCGTCAAGGAAACGTTTTAGCATGGTATGTCCTGGCTCCGCAGCGTGGCTCCCGGGGAGGGCTGCGCCCAGGATGCGATCCTGCACCTGCAGCCGAGGGAGGGATGCGTTACCTTCTGCCCTGCCTCCTCAGCTGGCATAAACAGATTTATTTCTGATGCAGAAAGAGTTTCTGCGTAAAACCAAAAAATAAAATGGGCTGGTAAGTGCCTTTACTGCAGAATCGCCCTGTGTGGCAGTCCCTTGCCGTGGTGATGCTCCGTAAGCTGGATGCTGTGCTTGGCGCAGCCCGAGCTGGGCTGTGTAATGCAGGGCTTAAACAGCTTCATCCCTGGGGCAGCAGCAAGAGCGCTCCCGGGGTTTGGAGTTCCAAACCCTCAAGCAGAGACCTGGAGGGGGTGACTGGGGCAGGACTGGGTGTGGGGCTGCAGTCTGGGGGCCTTCCTGCCCGCCGCCCGGCACCCGTTCATTGAAGAGCTGGTGGATGGAAACCACCCAGGCTGGAAAGGAGGGAGCGAGCTGTGTCACTGCTATCATACCACAGCAGTGCCCGGAGGCCCCGTCCTACCTAGCCGGTACATCGAGCTCTTTCCCTTAATTTGTACAAGCCATGCCGTTCCTTTCCCTAATGAGTTTATGTTCAAATAAACAAGACAAAGGGCATGGGAAAAGAGTGCAGCGTGTCGGGTTGGTGCAGCAGATCATGGTTTGCAAATGTCATCTTCCCTCCATGAAGTGGAGGTGGTTCCTGTGTGCTTGAAACGGTACAACGAGGCACGGAGCTGGTGTGGGCGGCAAGCGGGAGCCGAGGAGAGCAGGGCGGCCAAGGTGGGATTAAATGGGATTACTTCTCTCTGGCTGCTCCTGGTAGTCCCG